AAAAATGGTCAGTACAACTATTTACTTCGAAAATATAATCAAAAGTAAGCAATAAGGATCGAAATGTTACCTTAAAATTTAAACTTACCCTTTTCATTAAAAAGACAACTAGAAATTACCTTAGCCTGACTCACTTACGGTCCCCAGCGGAGTCGCCAAGCTGTCGCAACTATCTTTCGGTTGGGCCCCGAAATTGGGCTTCGACTTGAAAAATGTGGATTGGAGTCGCCACCGATTATTTATTTAAAGATAAATGGGTTGATCGGATACCCTATTTCTTACCTGATCTGCGTCTTACCAGAAATATGTCGGGCTCGGGAGTCGGTTACGATCAAGGAAGGATTAGCACTCTTGAACCGCCCTTTCGGTACTACGTAATTTCCAGTTGTCTTAATTAAGAAAAATAACAAGTTAAATTAAAAGATAAAATAATGATCCAAAATTACTTACCTTTGACGGATTTACAAATATACCCTTTAAAAGTCAAAATATGGGTTAGAAGAGATGAATAAATGATAAATAAAGTAAAACAAATAAAATAAGGAGATTAAGTAAGAAATAAAGTAAATATAAAATGAATAGAATATATAAAATAAAAAAACAATAACACTAATATATGCACAACAAACAATTAAATAAAAATAAAATGATAATGCAAATAAATAAAACAAGTAAAAGAATATAAAAACATAAAATATAGGATAAATATAAAAATAGATAAATAAATGAGTAAAATATATAAAAAAGTAAAAGCATATATATATATAAGTAAAATAATAATAATAAAAAAAAGAAAATCAAAAGTAATATACGTATATATACATGCAAAATAAGAAATATATATATATATATATATATAATAACACTAATAAAAAAACATATATACATATATAATAAAATTAATAGAAAGTAATATGCATATATAACAAGAATAATAAAGTAGGAAAAAAATGATTTAGGGGGGAGAATTAAATATTTTAAAAAAATGAACACGCCTCGGGGGTGGATCTAGGTTCGAAACTTCGAAATCCCACCCTTTTTTAGTCATCGGCGCAACCCACGTTTTGGGTTATTCGAACCAAATCTCAAGAAAAATAACGTGCACATGCGAGAAATGAACGAACCAATGTAAAAAAAGATGCTACCTTTTATTTCCTTTTCGAATCGTTTACAACAACTTTGCCTTTGTATTTTCCGTGCCTTCCTCTGTGTTTTGTGTGTAAAATCGTGTGTTACAATGGTGAGTTACAATGGCTATTTATAGTGCTTGTGGATCCTATCTTTAGGAATTTAAATCTTAGTAGAACTCTATCTTAATTTTAGGAGTTTGAATCCTAGCAAAATGTTATCCTATTTTTAGGAGTTTGAATCCTAAAATTCTATCCTATTTTTAGGAGTTTGAATCCTAGTAGGACGAAAAATGTGTGTTGACAGCAGGGATGTTATCTTTGTAGAAGATAAGCTACAAAGAAAAGAAGACGATGACAGCGCTGAAAAGTCAGAGACTACACAGATACATGTGGAAAAGGAGTTTGAACAAGGAGATTCTTCTGAAGCAAAATCAGCACATGATGAACAAGAACCAGAGAGTTCTGAAGCTCCAACAACTCGTCAATCAGATCGTGTGAGAAGACGTCCCAATTGGCACTCAGATTATGTTATAGAAAGAAATGTTGCATACTGTCTTTTAACAGAGGACGGTGAGCCATCAACATACCAGGAGGCAATAAACAGCTCAGATGCTTCACTGTGGATGATGGCGATGCAAGAAGAAATCGAAGCCCTTCATAAAAATAATACATGGGATCTTGTGCCACTACCACAAGGAAGGAATCCAATTGGTAACAAATGAGTTTTCAAAATCAAGCGAAATGTTGACGATCAAGTGGAGAGGTATCGTGCAAGACCGGTGGTCAAAGGATATGCTCAGAAAGAAGGTATTGATTTCAATGAAATTTTTTCTCCTGTGGTTCGACTAACAACAGTTCGAGTAGTCTTGGCAATGTGTGCTACATTGAATTTACATCTTGAACAGTTAGATGTTAAAACAACTTTTCTTCATGGAAATCTTGAAGAATAGATTTATATGCTCAAGCCTGAAGGTTTTGAAGAAGACGAAAAGAAGAACTTGGTTTGCAGGTTGAACAAATCTCTGTACAGTCTAAAGCAGGCGCCGAGGTGTTGGTATAAGAGATTTGATTCCTTCATTATGTGCCTTGGATACAACAGACTTAATACAGACCCTTGTACTTATTTCAAGAGGTCTGGTGAAAACGATTTTGTTATATTGTTGTTGTATGTGGATGACATGTTAGTTGCAGGACCCAACAAAGATCATATTGAAGAATTGAAGGCACAACTGGCTAGGGAATTTGAAATGAAGGACTTGGGATCAACAAGATTTAGGGATGCAAATTCACCGAGACAGAAGTAATAGGAAGATTTGGCTTTCACAAAAGAATTACTTGAAGAAAATCTTGTCACGATTTAGCATGCAAGATTGTAAGCCAATTTCTACCCCTCTTCCTATTAACTTCAAATTATCCTCCAGTATGAGTCCTAGCAGTGAAGAAGAGAGGATGAAGATGTCTCGAGTACCATATGCATCAGCAGTGGGAAGTTTAATGTTCGCTATGATATGCACAAGACCAGACATTGCACAAGTAGTGGGAGTGGTTAGTCAGTACATGCGAATCCAAGCAAAAAGCATTGGAAAACAGTGAAGAGGATCCTGAGATACATCAAAGGAACCTCAAATGTTGCATTATGTTACGGAGGATCAAACTTACTAATAAATGGTTATGTAGATTCTGACTATGCAGGGGATTTGGATAAAAGCAAATATATTACAAGATATGTGTTCAAAGTTGCTGGTGGAGCTGTAAGTTGGGTTTCAAAATTGCAGTCAGTTGTGGCTACGTCCACAACAGAGGCAGAATATGTAGCAGCTACACAAGCCAGTAAATAAGCAATTTGGTTGAAGATGCTATTGGAGGAGCTTGGGCACAATCAAGAGTATGTCTCTCTGTTTTGTGACAGTCAGAGCGCCTTGCATCTAACAAGGAATCCAACATTTCATTCAAGGACAAAGCACATACGAGTTCAGTACCATTTCATTCGTGAAAAGGTTGAAGTGACAATAGATATGCAGAAGATTCATACCAAAGACAACATAGCAGATTTCATGACGAAGGCGATCAACGCTGATAAATTTACTTGGTGTCGATTCTCTTGTGGCCTGACAGAAATATAAGCAACATAAAGGTACAAGGTAGAAAGAATGGTGTGAAGATATGATTGTTCCAATCAAATCTTCAAGTGGGAGATTGTTGAAAATAATAGTCATAGCAGCCGACGGCTGCTTTTGTTTTTAATTATTATTTTTTGTTGAATTATGCAAGGGATAATTACAACATTTAATCATTGTACTTTAGGGTATTTACAAGATTAGTCCTTAGGTTTCAACTATAAATACCCTAGCTCATTTAGCTTCAAAATCATCCCAAAGCATTCTAGCTTTCTTCCAATACTAGAGAATTTAGAGAGTTTCTTGAGAGTTGTTTTCTCCTTTTTATCAAGAGAGAATTATCATTGTTTTCTCCTTGGTAGATCGAGAGAGGTTGTAATTCATATTTTCTCATAGTGAAATTATTCTACCGTTGCCCGTAGTTTTTACCCTATATTATTTAGGGGTTTTCCACGTAAATTTTGTGTCTCTTTTATTTTCATTTTTATTTTCTCAAATTATCAGTTGCGATTTCTCTCTATCCGATAGTCGTCTTCCGCAACACTTTGCTAGTTCAATGGGTTTCTCAACCTATAGCTTTCAATCGGAAAACATTTGGCAGTTAGTTTTTTGTGGATTTGTTTGGTCGTTTTGGATCTGCAGGAATGAGACGGTGTTTAATAACAGGTGCTGGTGCGTGGAGCAATTATTTGAGGCGGCAACTTTAAAAGCGGGTTTCTGGTGTAAATACGCTTGGCCGGAGATTTGTTTGTCGGACACGGATCTATTTATATGCCCAAATGCCATCATGTCAGAGTCGTTTATCGGAATGATCGGCAGCAGTTGGAAGAAGTTAATCTGAGTTCGTGGTTGTGTGGTAGTTGTTATGGATGTCGATGTCTGCAGAATTTGTGATGATTGTTCATGGCTTGTTGATTCTAGTATTGGATTAATTAAAGTGGTGCTTGAATTCTTGAAGTGGGCCAGGATTTCATATGGTACTTCCTTGTTGCAGTATTCAATGGAAATGAATTAAACAATGTGGGTGTTGTGCAAGGCGATCGAAATATCAAATTGGTGAGTGGAGGGATGGGTTAGTGGTGGCACCTCGCTTTGAGGGGAAGCAGATTACGTGTTCCTGTGTCCTTTTCTTAGGGAGTTTTACTATTGTTAATTCTTTGGTTAGTATACCGGTTCTGTCGTGTGAGAGTTGCATTGCCAATGTTGCTCAAGTGATCTTTTTATTGTGTACTCTATTTTTTTTTAACGATACCCATATTTGTATCTCATTTTGTGTGTATTCCGTTAATACAATACAAAACACTCTTGACTCCAAATTCATACCCAAAAAAATGTAAATCATATAATTGGATCATAGCACAAAAAAATCCCTTTCAGGTAAGGAATTATAAATTGTTAAAATTAATCAACACTGACATTAATAAATTTGAAGGGACTATAACATGAGAAAAAAGAAAAGAGTATTTTTTTATTCGTGATTATGATTTGTTGAAAACTGAAAAGATGACTCGTCATAAAAAAATCAAAAAGATGTAAAAGTACAGGAAAGTTAGAGTACAAAAACCATTAGGATGCTCTTATTCAATCTTGTAGGATTTGGAACGCATTCATTACTAAATTACAGATTACTTTGGACCAAAATTACTATTCATTACAAAAACCACATATATGTTTTACACTGCAATTAATATTATTTAGTTACTTTCAAAATCATAATACTTTAACTCGTTATTAAAGCAGATTATATGGTTTACTAAGGGCATTTGTGTCTGCCGCCGTGGGTGGTCATGTCACGGTAGCACGGGCACACGTCATAGTTGCCGGAGGTTCCCGGAGGGACACAATGGCACCGATCGCAGCACGTACCACATGCTCTCTTGCAAAGGTTGGGCCTCGACGATAACTTGCATCTCTCCCCACAAGCTTCGTCACAATCTGAACCAAACATAAACATCATTTATAACGTTCAAACAAAAATGAAATCACTATTTCTTACCGATTTCCTCATCGGTCATGGAATGTTCTTCTGCCGTGTTCTTGATCACCTGCAATACATGAAAATGGGCAAGAATATTGTATGGTATATAGGAAAATTAAGAACAAAGTTATATAGAAATGGGGTTTTACCATTGGATCAGACGACTGAGCAAAGTGAGGTAACAGCAAAAGAGAAACAAGAAACAGAGGTAAAAGAGTCTTGGAGTTGGAGACGGCCATTACTTGGAAACAAAACGTACGATCAAAACAGGAGCTGACCTGCTATGGTATTTATAGTGAGCTATAGAAAATAAAGGAGGTAATATTCTAGATAGATGTGCTTGATTCTAACCCAAGGTAAAGTAGGTTGATGTTTAAAAGTAAAGCTATCAGAGTAATCAATGACTAATGAGCAGTTATAGATTGAATTATCTGCCATTTTTCCTCATTTCATTGTTATTGTCCAATAAATAAATGAATGAAAGATATTCAATCATATTTATTTTCCCAATATGGACTATATGATCAACATCCAATTCGTTTTTCATATTTAATTTGTTTTTGAAGAATTGTGATCCAAAAATTTACGTCTTTCACGATACAAATTAAGAGCATCTAGGACCATATTGATCGAGATAAAGATGAAATTTGGTTGTATGCTTGTACAACTCATCCTTTAAGAATCAGGCATATAATCGTTTGTTTTTTAAGGACACGGGTTGTCTTCTTTTTCCAAGGCTGATCATTTGCCTACCAAACCCACTTAAAACACACGTACATGCATTAAAAATCAAAATACTATTCACGTAAATGAAAGCAAATATAATTACAAACTTCATTATTATCATTAAAATATGACGCATTAAAATTCAAGCCAACAAATCGTTAGGCATATATCATCGCAAAAAGAAAGAAACGATCAACTAAATGAGTTGTGCTTTACGTATGACACACTTTTAATTTATTTATTCTTACACCATGCTATTCGTTTATTTCATCACAAAGCTGAAAGCAAAAGATTCGTTCCAAGTTGATTAAAAACTCAAGGGCACTTGCGTCTGCCACCGTGGGTGGTCATGCTAGCATAGCAAGGGCACATTTCTTGGTTCCCGGCGGTTCCCGGTGGAACACAGTTGCAGCGTGCGCAGCATGTCCCGCAAGCCCTATTGCATAGGTGTGGCCTCGATGATAACCGGCACCTCACCGCACAAGCCCCTCCGCAGTCTGGGAAAAAAAAACAACAACACTAATCGATTTGTCAAATGAAGTGTGTCAGTCCAATTTCTCGATACCACCGAGGATCTATGATAGTTACCCATTTTCGTTGGGGGAGCGGTTCCCTTGCTGGCACTTGTCACCTGTGTTTCACATCAACATGTAGCATAAATTAGGTTACTACTCATAACTAGCAATCATTCAAAAAAAAAGTGATCAAGCTTTACCAGTTGATCAGCACCGACAAGTTGGATAAGGAGAAGAGAAATGAGAAGTGAAGCGATCAAAGCCTTGGAGATAGCCATGACCGAAACAAAAAAAAATGGAGAGACGTGTTTGGTTTTTCGTGTCTATATCTTAGAGTTATGTGTGGAAAACAAAAAATTTCTCGTATTTATAGCCAAAAGAATTTGCTAAGGGAGAGTGCAAAGGAGTGATACTTGTACCGGAAAGGGGGTTTGGTGGATGTCTATGGGTCAGGTTTTCATTAATTCGAACTGATTCAAAAAATTTACATTTTCTACTTAAAATCTGATTTGATTCGAATTTAGGATGGTTTTATCAAACCAGAATTTAACCCTTTCTCTTAGATTAAATCTAATTCTAATCTAAGTTTACCTGAAACAAATATATTTATAAAAAAATATTAATTTTATTTGATAAAAAAAATTCTAATTGAAAAAATACTATAAAATGAATATTATTGTAATTATCGTTAAATATATAAAACATACTTATATTATTTTTCAAGTTGAGTCCGATCAAGTATTTTTTTCATTCAAAATCTGAATCCAACCCAACCTATATTTAAATATAAACTCAAATATATTTTTAGAAAACTTAACCTAATAAAATTGAATTAGGTCAGAACCTTTGGATTCGAATGCATTGTAACATAGCAGAGAAAAGAAATTTGAAACGGTGGATTGTCGGGGAATATCTGGGGGAGGAAAAGCCCAATTGGAACCATCTGGAAAAAATAAAGTAATGCAAACTTTCTGAATTGTTTCTCATTATTATCTTACCAGCTCTGCCAAGGAACTAGTTGTTGCTTTTTCTGTGGGGTTAATAAGTAGACATGTAAACTTGGATTGTTCTGATAATATCTATCATTCTCGGCTCTAAAAATTATGCCGTTCTGTAGAGTTATATATGAATCCGGGATTCATTGGCAAATCAAGTACATCCCATCTTTGAATTATTCCTGACAGAGACGCGAGCAACTTGTTTTACAACTTAAATACGGGAATAATTCGACCACCACCATCTCCAGCTAACAGTAAGCCGATTGATGCAAATTCAATGGCATCCATGACAAATTTGGCAACTTTCCCTTTCTTAGATTAATTTAGCATGTTTATGCTTTTCTCAATGGCATGCACCTATCACAAATTATTAGCACACATTGTTAGGGCAACCCTAAACCTAAAATATAGAACATTTTAACTTTGTGAAGGCAATTGATGTATGGTAATTCGTATGATTAATCAGAGCATGTTGAATATAGTCACAAAGATATAGATAAATTGGAAGTTATGTCAAAAAAAAAAAAAGATAGAAACTCAAATTGATTTCTTAAATTGACATGATTGCGACCTAAGTGAGAAGTTATTTGTAAATAATGATCTATAAACATTAGTATAATTTTTGTTGACTAATTATGCTTATTTTCCAAGGACATCACATGCATACTAATACTATAAGTTTAGTATCTTTTGGTGTAGTATAAATTTAGATGAAGCGGGTTATCTCAGGAAAGGCGGGCTAATATACGGTATTACTGGATATATTAAAAGATATTTCACAAATTCAGTTTAGCGCTCCCGGAAATGTTGAGTAATAATAATGTAGTAGGTGTAAATCATGAAGAAATATTATAAAATTTGGCAACCGATAAACTTAGCTTGCCGGTTTGTGTCGATCCAAATAAAAAATGTATCGATCCATATCAATATAACAGGTAAAAATATGACAAAAACGGTGTAATTATGACAAAATCGGTAAAGTGCTATCGGATATGTTGAAAGTATCGATTAGATTGAAATAAGTATCGACACTTTGGGAATTTAAAAGAGAATCAGTTTTAGCGCCTATGAAGTGTCGATACTTTATAAAAATGTATTGATCCATAACGATATAACAGGTAAAAATATGACAAAACCGATATCGAAATGACAAAATCAGTAAAGAGCTACAGGATATATTGAAAGTGTCGATACTTTAATATAAGTATCGACACTTTGGGAATTTAAAAGAGAAGCAATTTTAGCGCCTATAAAGTGTCGATGCTTTATAAAAATGTATCGATCCATAACAATATAACAGGTAAAAATATGACAAAAACGGTCTCGAAATGACAAAACCGGTAAAGCGCTACCGGATATATTAAAAGTGTCGATACTTTAATATAAGTATCGACACTTTGGGAATTAAAAAGAGAAGCAGTAATAGCGCATATAAAATTTCGATACTTTATAAAAACGTATCGATCCATAACGATATAACAGGTAAAAATATGACAAAACCGGTCTCGAAATGAAAAAATCGATAAAGCGCTACCGGATATATTGAAAGTGTCGATACTTTAATAAGTACGCGTAATAAATTATCGATACTTTCGAAGAAATAGGTAATTATCCTATCGAAAGTATCGACACTTTGGTAGTTGTATCGATTAAATATAAATAACATATCTGGTGAAAATATAAAGGGCATAGCTAAATATCTTTTGATTTTAGATAGAACGGACGAGTTTTTGAAATCGAAGCGTAATTGTTGCAGCATTTCAAAATGTGTTTCTAAAGCGAAGTTTGTTTGTTTGTTACTGCAGTTGAATCGAAAAATACGTTGTCGAAACCCTAGTTTTTTATTATTACAGTAATCGAAAATAGGGTTTTTATGTGTTGTTTGGGGTTTTCTAAGTAAAGAAGTATTTGGGATCGATTACAAGTAGAAAGTGATATTCTAGGCAAAATATAAATATCGATACTTTTATTAAATATTATAGGTAGAAAATGATATTATAGGTTGTATAAATGTGTCGATACTTGGAGTATTGAGTGTTCTCATTCGTTTGAAGGAAATAGGGATTAGGGTTTTTGGGTTTAGTTTGGGGATTTTGAATCAAAGCCAAGAAGGATCTGAGACCGATTATATAATATTATAGGTGGAAAATAAATATGGATACTTGTTTATAATATTATAGGTAAAAATGATATTATAGGTTGTATAAATATGCCGACACTTGTTGTAGTGGCCATTCAAATTCTTTTGAAGGAAGTCGTTTTACTACAAAAGTAGTTATCGATATTTGTATATTGAATAAAGTGTATGTAACCAGTATTTGATTTTATTTGCGTAAACTGATATTGAAGGAAAAATGAAGTCAAAGGATCTTGGAATTGTTGGTGGCAAAGATGACTTTGAAATTGAGGCCGAGATTCGAAAGCAACCAAATGGTGGATATATATACTTCTAGTAAGTATCAATGTCTTTTTGTTATTATTGTTGAAATGGTAATTGGATTAAAGTATTTAAGAACTTTAAATTGATTACAAATTTTAAATGTTGACAGTATGACCGAATACCAAAGGATGAAGGAAAGTGGCAAACACATCGGCTCAGTATGTAAATTGAAATTAACATTGAGTATTATTTAGCGTTAATGTATTGATTAAGAAACATTTATGCTTAATATTAGAAGAGAAATGATGTGTTGGAGAAATGGAATTCGATGAGTGATGCTGAGAAGGAACCTTACATCGCACAGTCAAAGATGGATAGTGAAGAATACAAAGAATGGAGGAAAGCACATGAAAAGAATGTATTCATTAAACTTGTAAATACGTTGATACAAAATATATAAGAACAATAACATTATATATTGTTAAAAAATGTAGGAAGTGTCGACAAGGTGCAACATTAAAAGGGTGAATTCATTAATTAAACACCTTAAGGAGGATGATCAATTGAATATGCTGGAAGAAATGGGGTTTGGATTGTTGGTAGGAGTAAGGGATCAACCT